TGATGCTGAGTGGTCCAAAGTTATGTTTTCTGATGAAAGCAAGTTCTGCATTTCCTTTGGAAATCAAGGACCCAGAGTCTGGAGGAAGAGCGGAGAAGCACAGAATCCACGTTGCATGAGGTCCAGTGTAAAGTTTCCACCGTCAGTGATGGTGTGGGGTGCCATGTCATCTGCCGGTGTTGGCCCACTCTGTTTCCTGAGGTCCAGGGTCAATGCAGCCGTCTACCAGGAAGTTTTAGAGCACTTCATGCTTCCTGCTGCTGACCAACTTTATGGGGATGCAGACTTCACCTTTCAACAGGACTTGGCACCTGCACACAGTGCCAAAACCACCAGCACCTGGTTCAAGGACCATGGTATCCCTGTCCTTGATTGGCCAGCAAACTCGCCTGACCTTAACCCCATAGAAAATCTATGGGGTATTGTGAAGCGGAGGATGCAATACGCTAGACCCAACAATGCAGAGGAGCTGAAGACGACTATCAGAGCAACCTGGGCTCTCATAACACCTGAGCAGTGCCACAGACTGATCGAGTCCATGCCACGCCGCATTACTGCAGTTATTGAGGCAAAAGGAGCCCCGACTAAGTATTGAGTGCTATACATGCACATTCTTTTCATGTTCATTCTTTTCAGTTGGCCAACATTAGAGAAACAAACATTTTTTCATTGGCCTTTAGAATATTCTAATTTTCTGAGATACCAGATTTGATGTTTTCATTGGTTGTCACCTATAAATATCAAAATTAAACGTAATAAACATCGGAAATACATTGGTCTGTGTGCATTGCATGAATATAATGTACAAGTTTCACGTTTTGAATGGAATTACTGAAATATTTTCAACCTTTTGATGATATTCTAATTTACTGGCCAGCACCTGTAAGTGTCAACACCAGTGGCGGCTGGTGAAAAATATTTTTGGTGGGGCTGTGCTAAACAAACTTGTGCTTTCTGAGCTTTGTGCACAACTTCACTATTTCCTGAATTAAGCACAGCTCTTTTATTTCCTGTCTTACATCACTGGACAAACTGATTAATCCAGGTGTGTCTATTGGCACGCTGCCTTGTGGACCAAGGTTGAAAAATACTGCATTAAATTGCACATAAAATAACATGACCATAAATGGTAAATAGGCAATGCAAGAGGCAAGTAACAAAAACATTTTGTTTAATTTCAACATTTGAGTGAACACCAAAAATTATGAGCAGGTCACTGTTACAGTAATGGTAGTAAACACCACTTAGACAAAATGCCAGAAATTTACACTGTTAGGACTTAAGCCTAGTTTATGCTTCTCCGTCAGCTCCGCAAGAGATTGACACGGACGGACACGCACGGATTGACGGAGGCGTTTTGCTCTCATACTTCTCCGTTTGCTGCAGGGGTCTTGCAAAGTAATTCTCCGCCAGGGCAACAGAGGGCGTAGCGTACAGTGACGTACTATGTCCTTGGAAATCACTTCCGCAATCTGAAAAATGGCGAGCAACGACAGACAGAGAAGTTTGATCGAGTTGGAACAGTGTTACCTAGATGAAGAAATGCTTATCCTGATGAAATACCAGCGAGAGCATAAAAGGAGACAGCGGCGTCGGTGGGATGTCCGTCCGCTAAACAGGCCTAGGCCGACAACAGGCGAATTTTCAGGACTTGTGCAACCTTTGAGGGACATGGATGCAGAAATGCATTTCAGGTATTTCTGTATGTCGGTTGACAGATTTGATGAGCTGGTTCGGCGATTGAAACCACTGATACATCACCAGGGGACACACAGCATGCCGATCGATGTTTCCCAGAGACTGGCCGTGACTCTGCGTGTTTTGAGTTCTGGTAGCAGTCAACAGGCTGTAGCTTCCAGCTACAAAATGGCGTCCAGCACAGTGTCGATGATTGTTTCAGAGGTCTGTAGCGCGTTGTGGGAAGCACTCCAACCAGATTACCTGCCATGTCCTTCAACTAACCAGTGGGCAGCCATCGCAGCAGATTTTTGGCGTCTTTGGAACTTCCCAAACTGTGTGGGGAGCCTGGATGGCAAACATGTGACCATCAAAGCACCACCGAATGCAGGGAGTGACTACTTCAATTACAAGGGCACTCACTCCATTGTGCTGATGGCAACATGTGATGCCAACTATCGATTTACGATGGTGGACGTCGGTGGGTATGGACGGGAAAGTGATGGTGGTGTATTTAAAGAAAGTGACTTTGGTTCAACACTGCTGAACAACAAGTTGAACCTGCCACCTCCTGCGTTTCTCCCTGGAACCAGCACTGAAGCACCACACGTGCTAGTTGCTGATGCTGCCTTCCCCCTGCACAGCAACATAATGCGACCATTTCCAGGTATGCGACTAGACATATGTTTGACATTTAAAATGAGTGTGTCATGTGTGTTAAGTTGTGGTTATGTTCTGTTTAATAACACTCATTGCTGCTGTTTGTATTTTCAGGACATAATTTGGAGAAGGATAAGCTTATCTTCAATTACCGCCTTTCCAGAGCCCGGCGTGTCATTGAGAACAGCTTTGGGATCCTAGCAGCGCGTTGGCGAATTCTTGGGCGGGCCATCGAGTTCCACCCAGATAAAGCGGTGAAGGTTGTAAAGGCGTGTGTGGTTCTCCACAACTACCTGGCATACTGCGATAATGCGAGCACACCAGAGAGCCGATACATCCCACCCACTTTCGCTGACAGCGACTCGGCAGGAGTGGTGCACCCTGGAGATTGGCGGAGAATGGTGGATGGTGACTCCAATCTGCTACCGGTCAACGCACAGATGATGAGCAAGAGCCGCTCAAACAGGAATGCCATTTGTGTGAGGACTGAACTGGCACAATTCTTTTTGTCACCAGCAGGAGCTGTGTCCTGGCAGGAGGACACTGTGTCACGTGGCACACTCACAGACTAGAGTTTGTCCATCGTAATCATAGTGCCTGGTGGTAGTGTTCTGTTTTCCTTTTTTTTATGTTTACCAGGTCTATTTTCGGGTGCTTTGTTAACTTGATGTTTACATGATTTTACTGCTCATATGTTGTTGTGCAAGTGCTAGTTGAATGAACTACAAATTGAAGCTGAGTGAATAAAACCTTTAAAAAATCGCAACTGAAAACCTGACATTATCTTGGTATGAATCTTTTTTTTCAATAATGCGTGTTTATCTGCTTTTTGGAGCCTAGTCAATGAGTGCGAAATATTATTGTGTGAAAACTGATGCCAAGTAACTGAAAATGAGAAACAAAACTGTAAATGGAAGAAAACAGAATTTGCTTTTAATAGAAAACAAACATGCAAATGAAACACTTCTAGGAGTAAAAATAACATGCAAATAAAAAAACTTTCAACACAAACACATTTCAATTCTCCAGAAGGTCGCACACACGTGCTAAAAGGTTGCGCCTGGCCACCACCTGCTTCTGTTCAGGGACCTTCCTCAGTAGGTCCGCTAGAATCCGCCCAAACCTGTCGTACTTATCATCCTTCTGCAGTATCTCACTGAGTTCTGTCCTACGTTTGTCAATCCGGGCCATCTGTTCAGAAAAGCAGTCATCCAAATGCTGCTGGCGCCGCCTCTTTTTAATAGCTGGTCGTGGTATGCTGGTGGACTGTAGCAACTCATCAGCTGTTTGTTGATCTGATGAAATGGATTCTCGGGCAAGGGAGGCATGGAGAGATGGAGATGAATTTGATGAATTTGATGAGGAATGTGATGACACGGGATGCGGTGAGGAATCATCCTGCTGCTGCCGAGAGGCAGGCAGTGAAGACCCCTGACGTGATGGGGCCTCATCCTGTGAGGATCCACATGAGGCCTGGTCCTGAGGTGGTTCAGTTGGGGCCTGTTGTTCAACAAACACATGCATTTAGTTATGTCTTTATTACTTACATACACTGGTAAAAACAGAATGCTAATACACTTATTAATAGGTTTAGGTAATCACAGTAGCATAATAAGATGGATTTGGATGACTTTGATGAAAGCTTTTAACTAGAACTGCAGCTTGTTGGCGCCATGTGCAGCTGGTAGCACAGACAAACAGGAAGCACAAACACAGCATGCTAAAGTACTTACCTTGAAATTTGAAGATGTAGGTCTATGCTTTATGTGCGGCTCCAACCACGACAGCAAAACATAAAAAGCTGGAACCTTTTTGCCACCTGGATCGCCACTGGTGCCCTTCAAGGTTTTTTTCATTCGGACAAATTTGTCCCGCATGCTCCTCCACTTCTTCATGCATTGCTCCACATCCATCTCCAAAATACGGGCTATTTCCTTCCAGGAGTTGTAAATGACCTGGGCATCTTTGTAATTCTTTAAAGATGGATTGTATAAATGTTCGTATTTCCGTACTTCCTCCGCTAGACGTTCCTCGAACTGGTCCATATCTACTTCTTTCGACACACACGACTCCGGCACTGTTGACTTTTATCACAGCCTCGCAGGACATTGCGTCATGACGGAAGTGCTCTCAGGTTTCTGGAGCCAACCAATCACAAGCTTGCGTAATCCGTCTCGTTCGACGGATGTTTAAAAAAGTGGGCTCGACTCCGTACGTACTTGCGTGCCTGCCGGAGCCCTACGCAAGGACGGATAATGGCGTTGCGTGTCTCCGTACTGACGCAGACGGAGAAGCATAAATCAGGCTTTATGGAAAGTGGAAACACTTTCATAGGAAATAATGTCATCAGTATCCTCTTACAAATGTCATATTTCCCACTTTTTGGGACAAATCAGAAATGTTTAATTATCCCAAAAGCTGGGAAATTTGTTTGCTGCAGCAGAAGTGTAACAAGTAAAATGGAATCAGATTGATGTATGTACAAATTTACTTGAAATACACATTTACATGATTAAATATGTATAATAGGTATGTGTGTTGAAATTAGTTTTTACAGTTATTGCACATTAAACATGTTATTAAACAAATGTCCCGGTTTGTGGGACAACCAAGGATTTCTGATTCTGATCGTCTTGTTCACAGAAATGTAATGTACAGCTTACCTCTGCACCCAGCTGCTGTTGTTCCCCTGCATGGCAACGTTAGCTCTGCTGCCTAGCATGGCTAGCTTCACCGTGTTGTTGTCCATGTGTGGCCGGGATGACTCGTGTTTCTTCACCTTCTCAGAAAAATGTTTCATGTCTGTAACTCCTGACTCATCCATGCCTTATCTGTCCCAGCCGTTTTGAATAACAAACACGGAAAGCAAAATAACGCATTAGCGTGATTGCATCCAGCTAGCCACTGCTTCCTGGTGTACCAATTTTGGGAGAAGCGTCGTGTGTACAGTTTACCTCTCTCCTCCTCCTGCTGGCTTATCTTTACGTCGGGCTGATCTGGTCCAAGCTCTTTGACATTAAGTTTTTCCACCATAGTTCTCCTCTCGAACGGATACTGGAGAAGAGACCGAACTGAATTCAGTGGCTGCTGAGATCCGGTATCCATGTTGTAGGCGCACTGTCTACGTCTGCGTCACGACCGTCAAAACGTGCTGGAGTCGAGACTCTCCGAGTTCTACCGAACATCAACGAAAGCCTTGGCGGTAGCTCTATCGCCCATTATGCTTCTGAAACGTTCTGAAACAACGTCGACGCTGATTGGATACATTCCCATTCCTACCCTTTGATTTTCTTGTCAGCAATTGGACAGCTGGTCCCGTCCTGTTTGGGTGATTGAAAAACAGCACACAGCCTCCACCGCTTGGCAGAGACCGGCAGAGACCGGCAGAGACCAATATAGATATATACATATATGATTTATTTTGGTTACAAAACACACAATTAACTTAGAATATGTGATTATTGTTAATTTTATTTATTTATTTTTTAAAATAAAAATTAAAAACACAGGGGAAACTGGGAGGGCGGCGCCCTATCGCCCTCTACTGGCCAGCCGCCACTGGTCAACACCTTAACTTCCACAACAAGAGCAGGCCTGTGTTTTTGTATTTATTTATTCATTCAAGGCAAAATGGTTCTCATTTAATGTAAAATATTAATGATGCAAAAGGAATGTTCCAACTATGAAAATAATGATGAAAACTCATCATGTTGGCTTGTGTCACAAACGTCTCCACGTTCAGAAATCCTCACTTTAGGGAGTTTTTTAATGCATGCTTCAAAGAGGAGGAGGAGGATTACCAAAGGAGTGACCTGCAGGTTAAATCATTCCAAACACGCATTTAAATAAATCTAATAAAGCATTCGTACAAAAGAGTGAATAAAAGAATCTGTAGGTTTTCAACAGAAGTCTTGGTGTCATCGGCGTAGACCGACACCTGAGCCAACAGAAACTTTAAAACCAAGACTTCCGTGCTGCTAACAATTTGTAATTTTAAGTTTCACCAAATCCACGAGGAAGTTTTTGCACAAGAAGATGGAAAATCACATGGTTGATCTGACAGCTGAGAGGCTGGAAGAGATGAAAAAGGTCAGAGTTCAGTTTGAACACCTCAGAACGTCCTTCAGCTCAAGTTTCTCTAAACTAACTCTATCAAGTGTGAAGCCGAAGTTGTTCCACGACGTCCAGCAGCTGTCAGACGACTCTTTCTGCTCTCCGGACCTGCTGCACCAAGCTGCACCATCAGCAGCACGTTTCTCTCTTCCGTCTTTTCCAGTCAGTCAAAGTTGTTCTGACTAAAGTGGGAGCAGCCCGTGGAGCTGAAACTGTCGGAAAAACCACCTGCAGAACATCCAAACACCAGGAATATTTTCCACTGCATTGTTTTGCAGAGACACCCTGCAGTCCGAGTGCACGTCCACAAAGAGACAAGAAGTAGACTCGAGTAAACATCCTGTTGGGGTTGAGACTTTTTGGTAGGAGATACTTTTTTAGAAATCTGTCGACTAAAAACTCACATTTTCCATGAATGCTTTAAACTCAGATTGGAAGAGAGAGCTGGAAAACACATCGAGTCTCAGATCTGTGAAGACATTTGTGGAAAGTTTCAGACTGGAAATCTTTAGAAGGAGAAACAAAGACAAACAAACTGGAATTTGCTGCAGAGTTCAGGATTCTCAAAATCCTGTCCAGGCTTTATAAAATCCCTGTTCTTGTTTCTCGGCCAGTCGTTTGTGTGAAGCATTGCAGGAAAACGGAGGAGCTTGTGGCTGTGCCGACGTTTGAGGAATTCCGTAACGAACTTGGATAAACTGCACCCGTAAACGGGCGCCCTGCTTTAAGAACATGGTGGGAAACGCTAACGCGTGTCTGTTCTCTCCAGAGAGCGGATTCTTACAGACCATGAGATGTTGTGGTGAAAACCTCATCAGGAGCTCTTGCTTCAGCGTTCCGATGTTCCAGACGTTTCTTACATCTTCAGCCTCATATCTTAGATCAGTGTGTAGCTGAGACTCTGTCCATTTTTATCAGGAGGTTGCCTGGGCTTCATTTGTGTCAGAGGTTCTCTGACGGAACACGTGACTAATCTGGTTCTAGCCCAAAGTTAAAGATGAGTGGCACCACAATTCCAGACTGTGATCCGGTGGGTTTGAGTGCGTGGAAGTCTGTGGAGGCCCGACTGAAACATTCACAGATGAGGAACTGGAGGCAAAAATCAATGAGATCATCAGGAAATGACTTGGTCGGAGATCGGAGTTCAGCCGAGTCACGGAGGAACCGTCGCAGAGGCGCCTGCAAGAAAATGAAAGTCCAATCAAAGATCAGTTCAGACCAAGAGCAAGTCAGGCGAAATCCGGAACCATGCTTTATGAGACTTCTCCCACAACAAAACACTAACAAGACGTGGAGATGAAACCTGCAGGAGACGTTTAGAACCGCTTCATGTTGAAGCAACACATTTTACACACATTCCCGTGTGAGCGAGCTGACTCTTAACCCGGCTCCAGCTGATCTTTATTTACATCGCCTGATGAAAAACTCCAGTCTGCAAAAGCTGCACGAAAACAAACTTCAAACCGAGCTGCTGCAGCAAAGAGGGGTCGGTCCAGAGGGCAAATATTTACCGTGATCAGAACAGACTCAAGCCTGGGTCAGCCGGTGTAGTCGGTCAGCTCAAACACCTTCCAGCCAATCAGGGAGCAGCTTGTTGGTAAAGCATCAGAGGGCAGACGCCATGACCTCACCTCAGTAAGAGCAGAGGAATGAAACAGCACGCACACACACACACACACACACAAACAAGCATGCACACACACACACACACACACACACACACACACACAAACAAGCATGCACACACACACACACACACACACACACAAACAAGCATGCACACACACACACACACACACACACACACACACACACACACACACAAGCATGCATGCATGCACGTACACACACACACACACACAAGCATGCATGCATGCATGCACGTACACACACACACACACACACACACACAAACACACACACAAGCATGCACGTACACACACACACACACACACACACACACACACAAGCATGCATGCATGCATGCACGTACACACACACACACACACACACACACACACACACACACCTCCTGTACTGAATTTAAACAATGCAGGACACGTCCATCATGCGTCACAGCAGTGTTGTGTCCTGAAATGTGGACCGAGGTCACGTCAGGCCCGGACGTCCGCATGTGAAAGACCTGACGAGCTCAGGCTCCAGAATTAGACCCGTCCAACTCTAGCTGTTGACACTCTGGGCTGCATTCATGTGATTCAACCGTTTCTGGAGGAATGTTTCCAGCAAACTGTTTGGCTGCAGCACCAAATCCACTCCCAGGTTTATTTTTAGCTTTGCTCTGAAGATCTTCGTGGAATCCGCAGCAGCCGTGTGAGCCTTTGACCCCGGGGATGACAACACGTACATGCAAACAGGAGAAGTTTAGGAACATGAATCTTAAGATTATTACAAACATCAGTATTTTCATTGAAGTAATTTTTTGTAATATACTTTTTTTTTTTTTTTTGGGGACAACGACACCATTTTCAGGAACTGGCAGTGACTCACATCACAGCTGAGCGTCAGGCGGCAAGATCTGGAGTCAGACTTCCTGATATTTGGACATCTCATCTCTGATTGGCTAACAGCAACATGACTCCACCACTGACTGTTTGCTCTGCGACGTTGATGTTTAATCTCCGCAAATAACACAAACCTGGAGGAGTTCTGCTGTGTGGTGGTGTTGCTAACGGTTAGCTTCTACTAGCTGAGACGTTCTCTGCTGTTTCCTGGACACTAAACCAACAACAGCCTTCCCATGGGTGTGTGCATGAATGTTAGTGACAGGGTGACGTAGATCTGTCAGGATTTTCTAATCCTAGAGTTTCACCGTCCGTTTTCTACCAGAAGCTTCTGCAGGAGATAGGTGTAGGAGACTATTCTCATGTTCAGCCTGCATTAAAAAACTTAGAATGACCCATTAGAATCAGAAATGATCATTAAAAATTGGTTTTTGGTGAACTTTAACGGAGGAATAAGAAACACGTTTGTAGTTTTATTTTGTTTTGAGGCTTCCGGTTTTTGGGTTTTCATACATTCTGTAAAAAGCAAAATAAGCTACATTTTGCAGGATTCTTCCATAACAATGTGATTTTCTGTAATATATATATATTTGGGGGGGGGGGGGTAGGTCTGCAGCGGAGAATATTTTTGCGTCGGCCTCATTATTCTCCGCTCAGGTTGAGATTCCTGGATTTTAAACGTCGCTGCTGAACAAGCCGGCCCAGCGGAGCCGTTTACCAGACGGGAAGCGGTCCTTTTAGGGATCATTCCTCACATTCCTGTTTACTTCCTGCTCTCTGGTGTTCAGCCATCAGAAGTGTCAGCACAGAACCTGCAGAACAGAAAACATCCTGATGATCTGTTCATCTCGTTGCAGCTTCACAGGTACAGTTTAATTGGCAGCTGCATAAAGACAAATGGATAATGAGTCAGAGTGAAACACTTTCCCAACCATTTGGGTCTTGAGGCGGTGTGATTATTAGAACATGTAGCAGTCGGAACACTGAGATCCAGGTTGTGTTCTGGCGCTTTTCATGCACAGATGAATACACGAGTTGGCTTTTAATGTGCTGATGGGCAGCTCTCTGATCTCATGCCGACTGATCTCTGCCGTAATCGGAGCTGTTAAGTGCTGCTGCAGAAAATCAAATCCTCAATAAAAACCAACGGCCGAGCTTGGCTGGACTCAGATCCGCATCTCACAGCTATCTGCTCGGGTTTGGAGGAACGTAACGTGTTTGAGACCAAAGTCAGGCAGGTTCTGACACATTAACCCTGACCCTAACATCATCAGGCAGTCTTAGGATCATTTCTGTTAAACTCTTTAAGCACAAGAGTCGCTTTTGCTTCGCCTGAATGATCTCACGTTGGTCTGTTACCCCTCTGTGGAGCTCTCCTTAATAAAACACTTAACATCTGAAACTGGAAGCTTTTGCATGTGAACCTAATTTTCAAATGGCCTGGTGGGACCGAGCTGTTGGTCACTGATGCTAACCACTAAACAGCACTAGCCCGAGCTGCTGCCAGCTAGCCTGAGCTACTGTACCAAAGGGTCAATTTTCACCATCTAATCGACCACAAGTTAGCCTTCATCTACAGACTTAAACCCACTCTCTGCCCGGCCTCCAAATCCAGGAAGTTCTGCTCGGTGCTTGTTTGCATACAAGACATGAAACTGTCAAGGTCTCCTGCAAAGGTCCTGCAGTCTCTGTGTAAAAGCCAGACTGCTGATTCCTCACCCTGAATAAAACCCAAACCTACTTGGCGCTCCTACAGGACTTTACGACTCATAAGCTTAAATAATCACACGTGTGTGTGAATGAACAAGATGTTTAAATCAAAGGTTTGAATAACCTGTTCTTAAACCAATGATGGCTTTAAAGTGGATATAGCTCTTACAACGATCCATTTCAGATCTTATGATCAGTTTGTGTTGATTTAACAAGTTAATCAATATTTACACTCATACACATTACAATAAGACACTAATTAATGTAATATTCACCTCACAGAAAGGTTTTAAAATGTTCTCATTCACAAAGCATTAAACACCTTTGTATCTGAAGAAGGCGTGGCTTCTGAGGAATGTTTGGTAAGCCCCCAAGACATGGCACGTTCTGATTCGCCAGAATTTATAAGCAGTGAGTTTATTAAAACAAGAATTGCTTCCTGATTAGTTCAGTTTCTAGCTGACTCTCCAACCGGCCAATTTGGGAACAAGCATTTTTGAAACCATCTTCTCCTTTGACCTCCAGTCAAAGTCTCTCTGCAACGCAGCGGCTGAGATCAGACAACCGGCTCTTCTAAGAGCCAAACAAGCAGCCTTAGATGCAAACAAGCGTTCCAGCTTCCTGCCGTCACCTGGAGGGATCTCAGACTAGACGGGTCCTATCAGAGCCATCTACGGGTTCCTGATATCAGAGGTCCACTCCACCGGCAGTGCCCATCTTGACCCCCTGGATCTAACGACGATCTCCACACAAAGGGCGCGTAGACTTGGCACAGATTGTGTCAGATGGTTTTTAAATAAACAACTCTCTAGTTATAAACAAACAACAAATTATTTTACAGCCCAGACTTCACAAACCCTCTCAGATACAAAGAATGGTTTTGCTAGCACATCTAGTTTCCATTGCAACATTTCACACATCACATTAAATCACCTCATGTCCATTACATCACATCTCATTATTCATATCTTGTCATGTATAAATTATTAGTTTAGGAAAATAATTAAATTCATTTCATAAACTACATGCCGACTCTGTCTGAATTAATATGAAGCGTGTTTATGATCCCTGAAGAAGCAAAGAACCCCAGAATCTTCTGATTCAAAGATCAATCTGTCACGATCTGAACTCGGAAGACTTGTGATGACGCCAAACACAGTAAGAGTAAAATAAAAAGTCTTTATTAGGAGTGGGGTTACCAGAGGTCTGAGGTGGGAATTGTCCGACAGGGAAATCCAAAAGGCGGAGTCGGGGACAGACCAGGATTCTGGATCTTCAATGGAAAGGTGAGTAATGACTGGAGAATTTACTGGCGTTCAATAATCTGGCAGTGCCTGGATAGCTGGATGGTCCTTATATAGCAGGAGGAACAGGTGTGGTGAATGAGGCTGATGACAGGAACAGGTGTGGTGAATGGAGTTGATGAGGTGCACGCTGAGGTTGCTAGGGAAACAGGGCTTGGCTGGAGCTTGATGAGAGGACCAGGTGTGCTGCAGGAACGCTGAAAGATTGGGAGTCATGACACAATCAGGTTGATATTTCATATTTATATGTAATCATCACATCTTATTGGTCATAATTAATATGCTGTGTCAATCATATCATAAATCATCATGCTACAACGGCTAGTACTAGCCAGCGCTACTGCTAGTGCTATTCTGAGTTACCGCTAGTGCTAGCCAGAGCTACTGCTAGTGTTATTCTGAATTACCGCTAGAGCTAGCCTGAGCTACTGTTAGCCCAACCTACTGCTTGCATTATCCTGAGCTACTGCTAGTGCTAGCCTCAGCGAGTGCTAATGTCGTAGAGAGCCTAAGTCTCCTCCCTTCCTGGTCAGCTCGTGGGACCCCGGAAACGATATTTTCCAACCCGCTCTGCCTTACACCCTGGATCGCACATACGTTGTACTGCAATTTAAATGAAAAGTGATGACGGGTGTTTCGGCCACGCCAGTCACGTACTTTGAAATTTATCAGCTTGTAAATGTTCGTAATTAGCATGACTACAAACTAGACGTCAGCACGGCGCATTTGTGACATCACCACATAATCTCCTCCCCCCAGCGTAGCTGCTAATTACCACATGGTAGATTTATGGTGATTTTTGTCCTCCTGAAGGAAGGACTTTGAGTTCGCTAAACTTACAGCAATTTTCCCTCTTTTCTTCTCCGTGTCTGGTTCGATGACGTCACTTTTTTCACAAAAGTGATGTCATCGAACCAGATGCTGACTCGTCTTTTTGTTTTTGCTTCTTTTGTCTTTAGTTTAGATTTTATTTAGATTATTCTACTGGTTAAATTGTTGTTTTGTTTAGAAACCTGCTCCCACCCCACCCCCCCTCTGAGATGATCCGTTATCTAATGCCGATGACTCAGTCAGCTGTGTGTGTGTGTGTGTGTGTGTGTGTGTGTTTGTGCTATAAAATAGTCTTCATACTGAACAGTGTGTCTCAGGAGGAGGAGGAGGAGGAGCTGCCCTTTCCTCCTCCTCCTGGTACTCCACACAGGAGGAGGAGGAGG